TGTCATCATCTCGTCTTCATTGCCACTACTATTACTATCACCACACTTAAGAAATATGACATCATGTCCATTATAGGCAAATAGCAGATCTGTCACAGAAAATGTTATTCTCTAAATCTTTCCCTGTAACCTGAATCATGTCTGCTCTGAGAGACGTCTATAATAATAACCTAATAATAACAGTCAGTGTACACTATTATTATAGAGGGTGACCCCGCATATTACGCCTATATAATATTGAGCTTCCAAATTGATCTCTCATCGTTCATAACTCTTATTCAATCACTACAATAGGCTAGGCCTGTAACAACCGATAATGTAAAAACGACGCATAATGTAAAAAAAAAAAGTTAACGCATAATGTAAACAGGTTTGACGCTTAATGTAAAAAAATAGCGCATAATGTAAAAATCAACGCATAATGTTAAAACTTTTGCTAACGCATAATGTAAAAACTTTTGACGCATAATGTAAAAACATTTTCTAACTAACATAATGTAAAAAACCTATCAACGCATAATGTAAAAACAAGTCTTCTCCCTTCCTCACGCCTGTTACTTTAACCTACTAGTGTCATCAATGATAGGCCTACCTGCCTGCCTATCGGTTGTTTTAAGTGCGACGGTTCACCTGTATCTCAGAGCTTCTTCTTGGACAAATTGTAAACAATTACTTAATGTACCTCCACGCCCATTGACGCTAGCGAAATTCATCAGGGAAAAGCACGATGGAAACGATAGAAACACGTAAATCATAATGATCGATGTATAAAAACCAAGACAGCGACATGTAGGCCTACACCTAGTTTAAACTAAAGTCACACTAGGATAAACGCAGATTTCAATATTACGGAAGACCGTTTGTAACGTGGAAAAAACAAAGGAGAATATTAGACAGATGATGTGGGTCATACTTATTTTTCTTCAAAATTCCCCACATCTAGATGTGTATAAGAGACAGATGCTGTGTATTAATTTACAGAAAAAAAAACCAATATTGGTTAATTTGGTTAATCATAGTGATGGTTCCTTTTGGATTTTTTTTTTTTAATTTTGGGCCTAAGTTTTTAATTTTAATTTTGGTTTTTTTTAAATTTATTTATTTCCATTTTTTGGAGAAATTTCTTTGGGAATTTGACGCTATTTAACATTGTGGATTTTGTGCATTTGTAAAATTTTTCTGTAATTTCTACACAGAAAATATTTTCTGCAGTTACTACATGTACACAGGATATTTTGGAGAAACATTCAAATTTAAAAAAAATCTATCTGAACCTTAAGTTTCATATCTTCTACTACACAAGACATACCATTTAAATAATATGATGACTCTGATGCCCATTCAGATTATGTAAAGGTGAATGTCAAGGTCAAACCTATTAGAAATATGAAAATGTTCAGATTTTCCACTGTGTAGCTACCATGGCCGGCGGAAGCGGGGGGGGGGCCGGGCCCCCCCCACTTTTTGGCGAAAAATATATAATGTCTGGAGAATTTTGTATGATCGGAAATGCAAAAAAAGAAGGAGGGAAGAAGGAGAAGGATGGGAAAGAGAATGTTTATCCAGTACCTGACCGAGTTACATTTTCTCGCAATTCACTTTGGCGGATCTGGGGGGAGGGGGATCATGGGTCCTGACCCCTCCCTTGGGCAACAAAAAAGAGGAAAAAGAAAAGAATTCTAGACCTAACTTTTAAGGACCCGTGAGCTGATTTTTATTTTTTCTTTCTTTTTTTTTTTTTTTTTTTTGTTTCGAAAAGTCATTAAAAAACACCACAGAAGTCGGGAAAGCTCATTTCCCGCCACCTAGGAATCAAAATTTTCCCGGGGAAGAACCACAGGACCTCCCCCCCCCCACCTTTCTTTTTGGGATTTATCGATTCATGGAAAAACCACTTATGCAACTAACTCAATCTTTTTTTATGTATGTATACACACATAAGGCCTATTTACTGTAATAACAATGGGAAACAAATTATCTGACCGTTTTCAAGAGTGGAAAACCTTGAATTTTGAAGAACTTAATTACTTTTAAGTTCTTCAAAATTCAAGGTGTTCCCCTCTTGAAAATTATTATAATTAATCAATGAACCCAGGGAAAGGGATGTTCGAGTTCTTCCCGGGAAAATGTTGATTTCTTAAATGGTGGACAATGAGATTTCCCGAATTCTGAAGTATTTTTTAATGACTTTAATTTAAAAGACACCTCAGAAGTCGGGAAAGCTCATTTCCCGCCTTCTAGGAATCAAAATTTTCCTGGGGAAGAACCCCCGGACCCCCTTCCTTTTTGGAAAATTCGTATGCAACTACTCATTTTTTTTAAATTGTTATGTATGTATACACACATAAGCCCTATTTACTGTAATAACAATGGGAAAAAATTACCTGACCGTTTTTAAGATGGGAAATTTTCCCTGGGGAGGAATGTTGACCCCACCACCTAGATTTGATTCCAGATCTGCATGATTCATATTCCCATTCAGTGGCGTAACAGGCGGGGCAGGGGGAAGACTGTTCTCCCCCCCCCCACCCCACTGACGGTTTTTACCGGGCTGACCAAGCCGTCGTACCGGGTTGGAAGAAGAGAAAAGAAAGAGGGGAGAGGGAGGGAAAGAGAAAGAAGGGGAAAGAAAAAGAAAGGAAAAAGGAAAAAAGAAGAGAAAAATAAAGACAAGAATAAAAAGGAAGATATAATGAACAGATATCACAATACCCCTGCCTGCAACCCTTTCTCCACTTCAAAAAGTGTCCATAGCGCATTTGATCTAAGCCGCCAGGTATTCTCCGCAGTGGCGTAATCACCGGGGGACAAGGGGAAAATATCCATTTGTGGAAAGTCTTTCCCCATTGAATGCCCTTTTCACCCGGGAAAGTGCCTGAAAATCTCAAATTTTAAATCGCATATTTTGTTGAGGTAGGCCAATTTCCTCTAAAAATTGCACATTTTAGGGAGTTTTGATCAATTCCGACGAAATTAGAATTAAAAAAACAAACATTTTTCAAGCGCTTCTCGCGCACTTTTTAATGTTAAAGCTTGTGCTTGCTCTCCTTTGCCTTCCAGGTTATAACACATAGTCCCAAACTCAAGAAAAAAAAATTTAAGATAGGCCTAGATCGTTTTACCTAAAAGAAGGGCCTCAATGTGTAATGATGTTGAAAGAATATGTTTGTAATGAATAAAGCCATAAGGAAAATGCTTATATTCAGTTTAAAAAAAACGAGTGTGGCCATATATAACATAAGAGCATTTCTTGTTGAGGTAGGCCAATTTCCACTAAAAATTGCACATTTAGGGAGTTTTGATCAATTCCGACGAAATTAGAATTAAAAACACAAACATTTTTCGCGCGCATTTGTTAGGGTTAAAGCTTGTGCTTGCCCTCCTTTGCCTTCTAAGTTATTTAAAAACATAATAGTCACAAAACTTGAGAAAGGAAATTTAAGATAGATCGTTTTACCTAAAAGAAGGGCCTCAATGTGTAATGATGGTAAAAGAATAGGCCTATGAATTGTAATAAATAAAACCACGATGAAAATGTTTATTTTTAGTTTCAAACATACGTGTGTGCCCTATATTAATAATATAATAAACCATGTCGTATTGTTTTCTATATGGGGGAGGGGGGTATCACACCAAGTCATAAATTACTAACCGGAAAAATTATTACCTTTGCCCCCCCCCCAACCCAAGACCCCTGTTACGCGCCTGATAAGTGGGGTCCCCCCACTTTGAAAAACGTTTCGCCGGCCCTGGCTACAGTAATGAATTGGAACCTGCACTCATATATGTGCTTTTGGGTATGTTTATTCTACTGTTTTCAGTAAAAAAAAAGGGGGTTTTTTCGGTTTTTGACAAAAAAACCGAGTTTTCCCAGAAAAATGTTTTTTTTTTTTAAATCTCCTTTTTATATAAAATATCAAACTTATTTTTTGGCTTGAGACACAAAGCTCCTGGTATTTCGCATGCAAATTGACTTGCCATGTCGGCTAAGAATTGTACCACCGATGGGTTATAATTTAAAAGCAGGGGTCCCGATTTTTAAAAATACTATTTTGACAATAAATCTTGGCGATTTTAAAAATTGACTGATCATAATAATAATAATAAGCATTTCCCTTCTTATGACCAAGAGAAAAAGCACATTAGATATTTATTGAATTGGTGTTTTTTATTTATCTGATTGACCATTGAGTATCGTGAAATATAAACAATATGCAAATTATACACGTGATGCAATATGCTATCACTATATTTAAAAATAGGCCTACAAATTAATGAATACCATAGAGTTTCGAGTAACATAGGCCCTACTGCTGGTACAATTTTAATTTTACTTATTTGCCCAACCCAACAATTTTTTTATAAATATTTAATTGTTATTTTATATTAGGCCTATACTTCTTAAATATTTTTAAAATCATCTAAAATTACGAAAATTAAAATCCAGGCGCCGCCACTGCTCGCTGGAAGGTACAACCAGATACAATAGTTCAATGTCACAATAATACATTGCTTTATTAGATTTTTGTATAGATCGGAGTCCCTGGCTCGGGGGCCCAGGTTCAAGATGTTGAACCTGCGGTAGTTACTGGCGAGAGAATGTAAGTATGGGCAGGGAACAGTTAAATTAACTGTTTCCTGGTATAGGTAAGGAGTGGGCCGGATGTTCCGTTACGTTTTGTGGGGTCCAGACAGCTACGATTGTTTTAGGAAGCTCCGGAGTTTTAACAATTTCAATATCTTTTCTTCCACGGGAACAGGAGATCTCCTACATACAATTTCAACAGCGCCATTTTGTTTTTGTTTTTGTTGGGGTTTTTTTTTGTAATGAAAGCTCATACTATTTTTTGAGGGAATGTTATCTCCTGATCTATTGCACCAATACTCCATGCTCCTAATGTTGACTTGGAATCAAAATTAATAATTCATCATAATTTTAGATCTAAACCCCGCCCTCTGTTTATCTAATTATTCAGCTATAGTACGTCGCCCTCGGTAGATCTAATTCTTCAGCTACTGGCTACAGTAACTTACCTTTCTTATCGCTTTAGTGCATTTAACATACAGTTGGTAATGAGTGGACGGACATCTCAATGCAATGGCCAACAATACCAAATATGTATTGATGGGGTTCATATACGTATTCGTAATTTCAGGTCTTGTTTTTGAGTACATGTCTTCAAGAAAATTGTAAGTATTACCAAGTAAGGTGGTCTATTTTAGTAGGCGTAGGCCCCTATTTTAGTAGTTCTAGGCCCCTATTTTAGTAGTTCAATCCATGCACTGTAATGCATAGGCCTATTTTAATACACTACTTAGATAGGCTTTTCTTTTTCAATCTTAATTTCAGAGGTCAAAAACATTTTTCAATTTTTTTTCAATCATATAGTGGTGTAGACTAGTCGTTTAAGAATATTTTGCTGGAAAATTTTTTTGGATACGACGCCCCGTTATGGAGTTATGATTTTTTAAATAACATGATGTCACCAGTACGTCATTAGACGAGTAGGGGATAGACAATCATCCCCCAGAAAGTTGGAGATATAGGGTACCGGTTAACCGGGTAGTACATACACCTTTGGGGGTAAAACACTGAACGAGCTAGTTCACACATCAAATGCTATGATCATCTTGTTTGACGGATACCGGCGCTATACAAAAAATCAATGTACGCTATTTGTTGTTATTGTTTACAACCGTTCTTGTGTACCTTTCGAAATATCCTGACGTCAAGCTCCTTAATCAATCTCTAATTAACGATGCGGAGACGACGTCTGTATTGCTTATCGATCTAATTCTTTCTAATGACCCAATATGGTATCTCGCATCCAAGCGTTGAATGAATTAACGATTCTGTTTATAATTATTAACTAGAAATTGCAAATTGCAAGTGAAGTGCTGCGAAGTACAACTGCATATAAATGTTCGAACAAAATTATTTATGCGAGTCAAGTGAAAATAATGAATAATAAAACTATAACAAATAATATGAGACACGACCCTTTGCTGTCTCTTATACACATCTAGACGTTACTCGAGTTGTGCGAGGTATCGGCTGAGATTTGTGGAGTACAATTCAAAAAACAACTATAGGTCTAATAATGAATTATTGTGATGTTAAATAGATAATGTTAGCTATCAAAGAGCGACGTTTTTTTTCATTGGGACCTTCGTCCCTTCAAGGCTAGGCCTAGAGTACTAGGATAAGGCTAGCGCGACATGCGGACGTTGGTACAAGCATGGAGGTATAAAATATTTTTATACCTCCATGGTACAAGTAGGTTAGTCTACACACGTCGCCTAAAGTAATTGATTTTACCCGGCAGAACGAAAGAAGGAAACTCCGCTTTTCAGTCGTCTTAAGCACTCGTTTTTTGACAAACAATGACCTTTCAGAGGTCAAATTGCTGTCAAGAATATGAATTGGCTGCTTCGCAGCAATAACGAATGTGGTATAATTCTTTCAAGAAACTGAGAAAGACGTACTGAACGTTTCATAGTAGTAACCAGATAAAAAAAAAGTACAATACATACTCCAAGTATTGAAAATGCACGTCATCGTGTTGGGATTCCAACACGAAACCAGATAAAATTATTAAGCTTAATACTATTTTAACAATAATCACAAATTAGTTAAATATTAGTGTTAAATATGCTGGCCTAAATATAAAGACGATTCCAGCCTGTTATCGTTTTTATTTTGTGATGTCTGGCGGCTATGTTTACTCACACATCTACACAGCAGAGGCTATCCAGGGGCCTCCATGCCTATACATTATTCATCTTCTGTAAGGTACTGTAAGTTCTATTCTAAGTCCTCCGAATCGAGAGACGAATATTTGGTTTACTTAAAATTTAGGTACAGAGAATAACTCGTCATCGGGGTGGATCTAGTAAGGGCACGGGGGCACGTTTTCCCCGTTTTGCCACTAAATTTTAAAAATGTCAATGCATATTAATATTAGGTGCTTCTCGCATATCTATATTGAAATTGTTGTGCCCCACCCCCCGTTTGATAATTCTGGATCAACTAACCTCTGGTCATACTAAAACCAAATCTGCTAGTTTTAATTTATAAAACTGATGTGTGTATCTTCGTTTCATAGGCCTATATCTCCAAAGGTCTCCATTGCAGGTTCTAGCCAATCAGAACACGTAAACATTCCGCCATATACGTCTACCTAGATCACTGGAGTTTTAAGGTGGGATGCGTATGGACTTGGCTTGTGATTCTACAATACATTTAAAAAACGAATCACCCAACAAGGCACTTGATGGGTCAAAGATCTTGTAACTTAGTAGCTCAATCTGGAAAAAAGAACTCAAGTCACTTGGCCCGGTTAGCCTAGCAATGAATTGGGTGTGTGTAATATAATTTAGGCTAGTCAGCCTCATGAGACTCGAGAAATACTATAGGCCTATTTTAATAACAATGATCTATTCAACTATAAAATATTGGACTATCTTCTTGTTTAATTCTGCGTAGCTAAATAATAACCAAACAAAGCCTAGCCATATTTTAAAATACCTACATATACAATAAGACGAATCACCAACAAAACTAACAAGAACCAAATTGCATGTTAATTCAAAATTAACTAGCATTTTATTAATAAACCATGTAAGGTTCTTGTTAAATATATAAATAAACCTAGTATTTTTATTTTTTAGGATTCGGCTAACAGATCAAATGATGAGAAGTTACTTAAGATCGAACACTTCACGTTTAATTAGTGGCGGAAGTTTATCTAACATCTCGACCATAAAAGCATCGCGACCGCCAAAGCTCTTCGGTACCGTCAACATTGATTGGAGTGGTATCAACAAGACGGCAGTAAACAATTTGAGGTATTTTTTATTTTTTGTTTATTATTGTTTTGATTATTACAGTAAAGTCATTTCTTGTATTGTTGATAATATCCGTTATTCTTCTTTAAAGGAAAAAAATTAAGAAATACTTTGATGGAAAGTTGACAGTGATTGTGTACAAGCGAACTGCGTCGGTGGATGATATGATATTCCAGAAAAATGTCACAGAACTAGAAAAAGCAAATGTTACTGAATATCTACCGCACCAGGATACGTGCGCTTTAATCGGTAACTCTGGAATTCTATTAAACAGTAGTTGTGGACGCGAGATAGACGCGCACGATATTGTGGTTCGTGCAAACTCAGCACCAACAGCTGGCTACGAACGTGACGTGGGGTATAAAACAAGTTTGATGATGTTTAATCGGGCCTCCTCGCTGGTGGTGAAGAAATCGATGAGAAGTAAACCTTTGCCAAAATCTATGAACAAAATGCAGATGTTCATGGATTTCAATGATACAATTGTATGGTACGCTTTGGCGGCAGGTGGTCTTGGTACAAGTATATTGAAGACAGCCTTCAGTAAATTAGCAAGAGATAATATCAGGGTTGCATACTCCCTCAACTCACCTATGACAATATCAAAAAGGTGACATAA